CTCTCTCTCTCTCTCTTCCCATCACACACATACACACAGAGTCAGGAACTTTGATCTGCACCTCACAGAGGAACAGACAGATATTAAAATGAGTGGAGAGAAGGATAGAAGAGGTGTGGAAGAATGAGAGAGATGGTGTTTCGCTCTAGTTACCCACAACCCCTTGTTTTCTTTGATACACACTGCCTTCATCAGTTCACACAGAACTGATATATGTTTGTGTGTGCGTGTGGGCGAAAATCTAAATATATTAGCTAGGCTTACATGGTGTAATTTTCAGATCCCTTTTCTTTGACTATTCTTGCATAACCTCAATATGGAGACCTCTCTTTTTTGATCACTCTCAGTTAAGCTCAGTCAGTATTCCTCTCCCTTGAACTCTCACTCATTCTCCTCCATTTTCCTCTGATGTTGTATGTATCTTTTATGAATCACTTTTCTGCCATCACCCTGATTACTCTAATAAATAAACTGCCATGAAAACAACCTGTGCAAGATATTGTTATCTTCTTCCTCACTATATATATACACAGTGTTTGGCCTAAGACCGTACATGTCTCTCTTTGTTTGATACTCTGTGTCTTATAGATGGCGATGGTGTGTTGGAAGGAAGTACAGCAGCAGGCAGCTGGTTGTCTGTGACTGATCTACAGCCTTACACCAACTACAGCTTCTGGATTAGAGGTTGTAACACACAGGGTTGTGTTGAGAGCCTGCCACTCAGTGTTACCACACCCCCAGCAGGTACCTACATAGATACAGAAAAGGTTCTCCTCCCACCACCAGACTACATCTTACAAACTTGACAATGATTTGATAATGATATTACATACTGTACTGATATGATAAAGTGATTCATCACCTTCATAAATATTGAAAATGAGGAGTTAATGAGTTAATGTGCAACTGCACAGCAAAATTCTCACTTCAAATGTATTTATCCAACTGATATTGGTAAAATAGTTGGGGGGTAATGTAATGTTTTCATACTGGCTGCCAGTGAGGCGTAGGCAGGGCACATGTTGATAGGCATGACCTGTCAACATGTATTGTACAACCAACATGACATGAAATCTTTCTGAAGCTAATTGATAATGGGCTTGTCAGCCCACAAAGAGCAAAGGATACATGTGTGGAATGGCTTTACCATGCTAACAATAGCTATCAAACTATAAATTGTACTAAATTATTATTGAAAATATATATTTTTTTAACTGTGAAATGGGTTTAAAATCACAGCTGATGTTTTTGCATAAGTGGGTTCAATAAGAAATATAGTGTGGAAACAATCAACATGATACAGGCCTCTGTGATAAATCTTTATAAAGAAATGTGACAGTCATCGCAGGAATAGGAGTATGATAGTATGCTTATGGCCTCCATCATAATAAGGCACTTTTCTACACCCCTAAATTATGTATGTTCTGATGTGATGTGAAGTGGCTATAATTGTGGTTTCTAATTCTACACATAAGACATGAACCAGTGTAACATTTTTATCTCATTAATCTGATTTTAATTGCTACTCTTTTGAACTGGAAAGGTTCATTTTTATAGCTTGCGATGCAACAGAAAAAAAAACAGTTATTCAATGAGTAGCTGTGACAAACACAGACACAAACACACACACCATTGACTTTACTTAATGGTCTGAACACATTTCTGATTTACACAGCGTTTGTGTGTGTGCTGTGTGTGTTTATAATTGTTTAGAATAGAGGCTGATTGTGAATACTGATAAATGTCAAAGCTGATCAGAGCAGTCTGGAATAATGGCAACCAGGCAGCAACACACACACACACACATAGACACACATTTTACCATTTTAGCTAATGTTAACAAAAGTGTTGAATACATACGCACACAACACCACACCCATGTCTCAGTCAGAAAACAACAAAAGACAGACTTCGGAAAGTTCTACTGTTCAAGTTCAAAACAAAGGCATAAGAAAGTATAAATTTTAAATACCAGACGTTTCCGCTCTTTCTATCTCTCTTTCTACCTCTGTGCCTCTGGCATCTCTTTAGACTTCTTTAAGGCAAACTGTCTTGATGCGTCCTTGTTCTATGAAAGAACAGAGAGGAGATAGTGGGGCAAGAGACAGAAGAGCAGAGGAGGAGGAGAGCAGAGAGAGAGAAGTGAACATAAAAGTGCATAGTTTAAAACGATTAGTGACACCTCTGATATTGTACCTGCTAACACACCATGAAAGAGACACAGGCTCACCAACCGTGTGTGTATGTGTTGTGTGTGTG